TCTTAACAGTGGACAGACAGGCAATATCATGATGAACGGAGAAGAGGTTAAAACTGTCAACAGCTTCATCTTGCTTGGAATCACAATTAACACCCTTGGTACCAGCAGTCAGGAAATAAGGAGATGCACTGCACTGGGAAAATCTACAGTTAGGGGATGCTCCAAATTATTGAGAAATTATGCCAGTTTGAGGACTAAGGTGAATTTGATAGAGATCATAATCTTTCTGATCTCTTGATATGCATCTAAGAGCTGGACAAGGAATAAGGATGACAAAGGAAGAATTGACGCCTTTGAGCTGTGGTGTGGAGAAGAGCACTGAACATCCCACAGAGAGGCAAAGAACAAACAAACATGTCTTGGAGAGGGTTCAGCCAGAGTGCTCTTTGGAGGCAAAACTGATGAGGTTTCACCTCACATACTTCAAGCATGTTGCTAGGAGGTGCTACTCCTTGGAGAAGGACAAGATGCTAGGAACGCTGGAGGGTCAGAAAGGAGAGGAAGACTCCCCAACCAGGTGGATTGACCCAGTGAGTGCTGCAATTGGCTCTTGTGTATCAGGAAATAGGAGGATTGTAAAGGATGGAACAGGGTTCAGATCTTTTGTTGGCAGGGTTGCTGTGAGTCAGACTCAATTCGATGGCACCCAACAACAACCACCAACTTTTACAATATGAAATTGTTCTAACAAACAATCAAGATACACTAATAATTGGGAACTGGAAAGCAAAATTTTGGAACAATAAAGGACTGGCAGTAAGAAATCACACACTCAGGAAGCTCTGGTGGCCTAGTGGCAAGACGCTGAACTGCAATCCCAGAGGTATGTGGTTCGAGTCCACTAGATGTGCTGGAGAAGGAGTGGCAATCTCCTCCTGTACCAGTCAGATCCAATTTGATGGTATATACACAAAAAAATAAAAATAAAATTAAAAAAAGAAAGAAATTAAAAATTCAATGACAAAAATGGAGATCAAATAATTGAATTTTTTATAATCAAGGATTTATTCATTGCAAATACCTTTTATAAAAAGCACAAACAGCAACCAAACACATGGACCTCATTTAAGAGACTACACAAGAATCAGACTGACTACATTTGTGGAAAGAATCCTTAGAGAAGCTTAATATCAGCAGACAAAACCAGGTCAGGTGTTGACTATGGAACAGACCATCAACTGCTTGTGTGCAAGTTAAAACTGAAGCTGAACAAAATAAAAACAAATCCACAAGAACCAAAATATGACCTTGAGTCTATCTGACCTGAATTTTAAAACCATCTCAAGAATAGGTTCAGGCTTGGAACACTAATTATTGAAGACCAGATGAGTTGTGGGATGACACAAAGGTTTTCATTCTTGATGTCATCCCACAAAAGGTCACTACAGAGCATCCCACAAAAGGTCATTACAAAAACAGAGGAGAAAAAAAAGGCAAAATTGAATGTCAGAGAGCCTAAACATTGCACTAAACATTACAACAAAAAACAAAAACTAAGGAATAAAGGATGGTATGAAAGAGTTGAATAGAAGAGTTCAAAGATCAGTTCAAGAAAGCACAGTACTATTTAAAAAATGTGCAAAGAGCTGGAGAATTCACTCAGCATTTTTCAAGCTGAGAGAACTAAAAAACATTCACATCTCAAGTTGCAATACCGAAGGAGGCTTTGTGTAAAATTTTAAATAATCCAGGAAGCATCTAAAGAAGATAAAGAAATACAGAAAGAAATGGCTTACACAGAAGTATTTCAGGAAGCAATATAAGATCAAGAACAAATGGTAATGAAGAAACAAGTTCAAGCTGTACTGAAGGCATTGGCAAAAATAAGGTCTCAGGAAGTGAGCAAATACCAAAAACCAAATGCAGCACTGAATGTGCTTGCCAGGCCATGATATTGAAGATCATAAGCAGGGGGACAAAATTAAAACTCAGATGAAAGATATCCTGATGTCTCTGGATATATCCTATATACACACCCTATTAGCACACTTTAACTGCCTGTTCATGCTCCCATATTTTTCAAGGTATGTGCTAAAGTAAGAAGAACTGGGGAAAGGTGGTGGGAAGAGTGATTTATAATGTCCATTATTCCATAAAAGGTATGTATTCCAGAAAGACAACACAGTTTTCTCATCTAATAAATGAGTACAGGCCTTCTCCCCTATCCAAAAGCAGCATGTTCATGGATACCCTATTAATTTATATAAGAAAAATGTTGCAGTATTCCCTACCTGAAAAGTATCCTACTAGAATACTCCTAAATAACACTAATACATAGTGTTCACAAGACATAGTTCTGTTTTTATGGCTTAAGACTAAGATGCTCAGTGTAGTTCCTTGGGAAGGAGCTTGGTGCTACATCTTTAACATCTCAACAAATCTAAACACTAGTTTGCACCATTGTCCATATGTGATGTCAAGGGTTTCTTGTTCAAAGTTGCTTTCATAGACAAAGACTTTAACTTTGCCCTATAATGGGCAGGAATATGCAAACAGATGTGTTCCTCTAGCCACAAGGGGACTGGCTGGTCTGCCATTAAATTCAGTACATTCAGTAGCAGAATCTTTGGAATCTCACCATCTGCAAAAATGAAGCAGAGAATGCACAGTATGTGGCCTTCCGCACTGAAGATTGTTGTACCTACAAAGCCTATAGGAGGAGCAAGAGCAGTAGCTCCAACAGAGAATCAGAGACTTGACATGAGAGTTGACCTTGGAGATTAATACTCTATGGAGTCAGAGCTAGGAATCTTTGCCAAAGTTTGCTGGGTTATCATGGCTAAGAGCAATGTAACACCAGGAGGTAGCACCAGGAAGGTGAAGGCTGAGTTGCCTCGGAGCACATTTTGGAAGCTGTCCTGAGTGACTATATCCTGCTGCAAACTGACTTTGACTTCCTTAACAAACCTCATCATCATGATTAGGATTCTGTGTAATCTGAGAACTATTGTAACAGATTTTGAATCCAACAGAATATCTGGTTGGAATTAGTAGAAAGAGATGCAGGAGTATGGGAGACCACTATCTAATGAGAACTGGTTTTATGCTGTAGATAATAAGGACAGTTCTCCCCTGTGGTGTTAGAAGCCAGACATAACCATCCTCATGCTTCCACTGCTCTTTTTACACCATAAAAGAGAAAAGAAAAAAAATCCTCTTCAGATTTTGATTGTTCTTGTTATTTGCCTTCGAGTCAACTACTACTCAAAGTAACCCTAAGAACAATGACTCTGAACCATGTCCAATTCTGATACATCTGACTCCACTGTCAAAGTCATTAATGGCAATCCATCTCGTCAATGGTCTTCATCTCTTTCGATGATGTTCTGCTGTTTCAAGCATGATGTCCTTCTCCAAAAACTGGCCAGTGAAGACAACAAATATTAATCTTTCATAAAGAGAAGTGGTATAAAATGATCTTTCAAAAAGTGGAGGACACCTACAATACTCATCTTAGAGTACTGTTCTATGAAGTTAACTACATGTCCTGGCACATGCAACTGTTCAGTTACATTTAACTATCATTATCAATAGGGAGCTCTAGTGGCCTACTGCATAAGGATGTCTACTGTGCTGCCAATGCAAAGGTAACTGGTTCAAAACACCATTTGTTCCAGGAGACAAAGATGCAGAATTTTCTCCCAAGAGACTTAAATCTTCAACAAACCTGCTGGAACATCAGATATGACTTGTTTCTGACTTAACAGCATATAACAAAAACCATTATCAATGTTGCCAGCATGGTTCCAAATTAACACACCCTGCAAAAAAAGTCTAACACAAGCCTCATCAAATCCAAAGATCTGGAATTTTCCGTTGGTCCACAACAACCAACATTTCCAAGCTATTCTGATGATGCTCTGTACATCTATCTCTAAATTTCTTAGATGGGAGATTTTAAAAATCAGAACGGAACTGCATATTCTCAGAGTTTCTGGAGCCATAGAGAGGCTAAATTCCCTGAAACTGTTGCCCTAAATAATTTTTAAACCTTAAACCAAAAATATCTCATGACGTCTCCTTAAAGCCAAATCGCTAATTAACTAACTAGTAAAATAAGTTTGACTTAAAATCATAAATAGCTTAACTAGTAAAGCAGAGCTGACTCAAACATGCTCTTTTAAGAACTATATCTTTGGGTCATATTGACCATATCAACTGTAAGTATTTGACGGGAATCTTAGGAAGCAGTGAGTTATTTAGTAAGGAATAGCACAGAAAAAGAATAAAAAACTGATTTCAAAATTCGAAGACCGCGATCAATGCCACTTATCAACATTTGGAAAACTGTTGATGTATTCTTTTCTTCTGTTATAATCTCAATAATAAAATTAAGTACAGTTTGAAAAAAGTAAAAAAAAAAAAAAAAGGCAAAAGGAAGCAAAGAAAAAAATCAAAGTTTCAAAAATCTTAGGTAGTTGGCCGTCCCAGAAACGCACCGCGTAGTATGGAAGGAAGAAGGTTCTCTTGCCAATCTGAATGAGATTCTAAGGCCTATGTGAGCTGGGCACTGGGCTGCTACCCCTCTCGGCCTCCAGGCCCCTGCAATACTCTTTGCAGGGAAAGTGGGGATGTTCTAACCACGTTTCTTCACCCTCAAGGAAGGCGGCAGTATGAGTGCCCACAGAGGCGCCCGCCCACGCGTGCCTTCGTCAACGCAAAGATGCAATTCACACCCGTAACCGAGGAGGAGGGAGGCTCCATCTGGACTCACTTCCTGCAGGGGAGAGGAAAGACATCTTAGCGCAGGGCGGCGGGCGACAGTTCCGCCCCTGGACCAGGCGGCTGCGGAGCACAGGGTGGAGGGCGCCGGGTAGACACCTACGTGGCGCTGGCCACTTGGGAGCTCGGCCTCCCCGCCGCGCTCGCGCTGCCCCGGAGGCCCTGGTAGCCGGAGTCCCGGCCATACCCGGGCAGGGGAAACAGGAATGAAGCCCGCGGCGCCCCCGGCCCGACGGCGGGCGACTCTAGGAGACACAGGCCGTCGCCAGGTCACCCACCTTTCTCACTCGGCGGGCTGTGTAGAGCCCCATCCCGTCCTGAACCCGGGAAGACTTCAGGGAGAACCTGTCCGGCACGTACATGCCCAGCATTTTGCCAGCCACGCTGCCGGTCGCTCAGTTCCGGCGCTGTGCGACCAAGAGGCGACACATCGAAATTTGGGGTGCCAGGGTGGAGGGGAGAGGTCGGCAGAGAAGGAGGAAATGGAGTTTTCCTCCCAGAATCCCCACCTCCCCGCCGATTCCAGGATCCCCCGCGGCTCAGCCCCTCCTCGTCCCGGGTCTGGCCCGGCCCGGAGCCGATGAGTTGCCGCGGGGGCGCGAGAGGCGCGGGCCTGGGCCCTGCAGGCGCTGCAACGCCGCGCGCTGATTGGCCCGAAGTTGGCTGCTCGGACCCGCGCCCGGGCTTGGAGCCCGAAGCAGGGCCGACCGACCCCAGGGCCTCAAGCCGGGAGACCCGCGAGCTGCGCAGACGCGCCCGCACCCCCTTGTCCTTTCGCTGCGTGCCTTCCCGCCTTTGTCCTCTGGGTTTTCAAAACCAAGCATCTTTGAATTGCAACTTGTAGAGTTTTACTGTTCAGATACAAAGTGAAGTGGGCCTTGACCTGCGCTGCAGGGCGAGGGGGGATGGGAAGGCGCATCTTCCAAAACAACTTTTTTCAAGTTTCTGACTTGGAAAGGAAGCTTGTTACCTGACCACTGGGAACAGCCCCTTAAGTCTAGGAACTCTCAGTCCTTGTCTGAGTTATGCATCTTTGGTTTTTGCAGTTTGTTTTTCCCAGTCCAGAGGTTTGAACTCAGAATTTTAACACGTTTGTAACTTAAATATGTTAAGTTACTGAGAAATTCACAACCTGAAACTGATTCAAGTTACCTCAAAATTTGTTGTGAACCAAAGTAAGATTTTTAACCGGTAGAAACCAGTTCTTTATGATGTCCTGCCTTTCTCAAGCTGTAACACTTCCCTAGATTTCTAAACCCTCCCTTTATTGAAAATCACCAGACCTTTTGCGGATTTTCAGACATACATCAGGGGAGGAGGGAAGGAATGCCCAAAGAAAACAGTCCAGTAACACAATATTAAAAAGAAAAAAGTTTTGTCTTACAGTTTTTAATAAAGTTAGTAGACTGTGCACTATGTTCAGAAGGAATTTTTAAAGTCCGTTTCATCCTTTAAGATGAACCCTGAGCATTCTCCTTTTGCTTAATATCTTTGGTAATTTTCTCCTTCGAAGATCTTTTTCTTGGAAACCATTTGGCTTCCTCAGTATTTTCTTTATATGCCTTCTGGTGAGAGGGAGGAAACAACATACTTTTGACAAGATTGAGACTCGCCGCGATCACTCACCCATGAATATAATTCCTGTTTCTTCTGAAGCTAAGATTGAAAGACTTAAAAAATTTGTAAGCAGAAGTTTACAAGTTTAGATTTAGATTTTTAAAATGTGCACTATCAAGAAAATTACTGTAAAAGTAATATTTGGAGATTTTTTTTTAAACTAGAAATTACTAATGAGAAAGGTTGAGTAACCATGGTGGTGTAGGAGTAGTGCATCAGGCAGCTACCTAAAAGGTTAGCGGTATGAGGCCTCCAGCAACTCAAAGGGAGAAAGATGAGCACCCTCTTCTCATAAACATTTATAGTCGTCTTTTTAAAAGAAATTACATTTTTATTTTATACTGGTTTACTTAAAAGCTCGCATACATTGTTTTTCATATTGGATCTTTCCCATTTCCTTTACCCACTCTCCCACCATCCATCAAATTATGCAACCCTATGATTAACTGTACCACCAAAAACCCCCTCCTCGCTTCTCCTCCCCTCCCGTTCTCATGCCTCTGCTTCTCCCCTTGTCCTTTCTGACGCCTCTGCTTCTCCCCTTGTCCCCTTTGGATCCTCATACACATTCGACAATAATGGTCTTATACAGTATTTGTCTTTATAAAACTGAGTTAGGTCACTAAGCATAATGCTCTCCAGTCCCTCCCAAATTAGGCAGTGATTTACAAAATCATTGCTCCTGAGTGCTGTGTAGTATTCTATTGTGTGAATATACCGTAATTTCTCAATCCATTCCATTGTAGTTTGACATTTGGGCTGTTTTCATGTTCTTGCGATGGTGAATAATGCCGCTTTGAACCTTGAAGTACAAGTCTCGGTTTGTGCCTCAGTTCTCATTCTCTTGGGGTATATTCCAAGGAGTGGAATAGGTGGTTCATATGAAATTTTTATGTTCAGTCTTCTTGTTGTGTACCATCTAGTTGCAACCAACCCATGACCCTCCAGAGGGATTTCAGAGACAGTATTGCAGGAGGTGATTATCCATTCTCCCAGGGAGCAGCTGGTAGATTCAAAACTGTGCATTCAAACTGTGTATCTTTGAGATCTCAATGCAGATTCTCCCAGTACTCAGAATATTTGCTATAAGTTGGAATCAACTCATGGCACTGGATTTGGTTCTGGTTTTACAGAAGTGGACTAATTTTTTTCCCCTTTGACCCACCACAGAAACTCCACTGAGGGTATTGAGTTCTATAGAGTCTTAAACTTGTTAACTTCAAAGCTGCACATGTTGGGAGGTTCAAATCCACCAGCTGCTCAGGAGGGAGAAAGATGAAACAGGTGAAGAGTCGCCAAGAATCACAATCTACTTGAAGAGAGTAGGTCTGAGGATTCTGATTGGGCTACTACTAAAAAAAAAAAAACAAACCACCACCAAACTTGGCAGGTCTAATCAATTGACTACTATGCAGGAGAAATTTTGTTAAGATTTATAGCCTATGGTGGAAGGTCACCATGACTTAGAATTCACTCCAAGATGCTGGGTTTGGTTATTTATAAAGGAAGAGTATTCTGGCAGTGCCTTGCTTAGGCACTAGGGTGCTAAAACAAAAGTTGGCATTTCTGGAAAAAGGTAGGACAGTATACTTCTTTAATAACTACAAATTTGGATATCCTTTGGGAAAGTCCTACAATGGCCTATGGATTCACTGTGTCAGAAATTATGTTTATCTGTAAGGGAGTGAAAGTAAACACAGAAAGGTTTATCAAGAGTAGTAATTATAATTAGGTAGAAGTTAGAAAAATCTTTTCAGTGACCAACAAATAGTCCTTGGATGAAAGTTAAAAGCTAACCTGAGATTTACAAACTAGTCTGTGGGGAAACTAGAATTCACTTTGTGTTGTGTCTCACCAAATTGCCTATCTTTGCTTTGGCAGTGCAATTCTTTACCACCAGGAAGCAGTCCTCAGAACCGAGAAAGGAAACATTGCATGGTTCAAAATTAGGAAAGGAGTGTGTCAGAGATGCATCCTCTTTCTATACCTTTTCAATTTATATGAGGAAAAGATTATTTGAATGGCAAAAACTGCTGGAACCGCACATCAGCAGAGAATTACCAGAAGTCCAGGCTGGGCTTAGAAAGGGTCGTGGTACTAGGAATATTGAAGCTGATGTTAGAAGGTCTTAGCTGAAAGCAGAGAATACCAGAAGAATGTCTATCTGTGTTTCATTGATTATGCAAAGGCATTTGACTGTATGGATCAAAACAAACTGTGGCTGACTGAGAAGAAAACCTACACTTGGACCAAGAGGCAGTCGTCAGAACAGAGCAAGGAAACACTGCATGTTTCAAAACTGGGAAGGGTGTGCACCAGGGATGTGTCCTATATCCATACCTTTTCAACCTATATGCAGAACAGATTATTCGGGAGGCAGGGCTGAAGGATTCTGGGGCTTCATCTGACATACTTTGGACATGTTGTAAGGAGAGACTGGTCTTTGGAGAGGAACATCATGTTTGTGAGGTTGGAGGGACAGGTCAGAAGGGGAAGACCCTCTATGAGATGGATTGATTCAGTGACTGGGGTAATTGGGATGGGTATATCAGAGGCAATACGATTGGCACAGGATAGAACAGGGTTTAGGGCTGTTGTACATAGAGTCGCTATGAGTCGCAAGTAACTCGACAGCACATAACAACAACAACAACAGGCTTTATGAGAAGGAATGTGGCATCGGGATTGGAGGAAGATTCAACAACCTGCCTTATGCAGGTGACACACTTTGTTTACTGAAACAGAGAAGGACCAGAAGCATTTGCTTCAGAAGGTCAAATACTGCAGTCTCCAATATGGTTTGAAGCTCAAAATCAAGAAAACAAAGATTCTCACTACTAGGTCAATTGACAGCACCATGATAGATGGAGAAAAGATCGAGATTGTTAACAATTTCATCCTGTTCATGTCCACAATCAACACTCTTGGCACAGAAATAAAAAACTAATTGCATTGGGTAAATCTACTGTCAGGGACCTCTTCAACATGTGGAAGATCAATGATATCAGTCTGGAGACTAAGGTACACCTGATTCCAGGCTATGGTCTTCACAATTACTTGTTATGCATCAGAGAGCTGGACAATAACTAAGAATGATAGAAGAAGCATTTGAATTGTGATACTGGAGGAGAGTATTGAACATACCATGGACTACCAAGAGAACAAAGAGGTCTGTGTTGAAGAGGGTGAAACCAAGTTGCTCCCTGGACTCAAAGATTTCCCTGTCACATACTTTGAGCGTGTTGCCAAGAGGGTCCAGTCCTTGGAGAATGACATCATGCTCAGAATGGTGGAGAGGACAGCACAGAAGAATACCCTGGATGAGATGGATTTACACAGTGACTGGGGTAATGAAGGTAGGTGTGTTGGAGACAGTGAGACTGCCTCAGGATATAGCAGGGTCCAGAGTTGTTGTGCATAGGGTCACTATGAGTTGCAAGTAACTCAATGGAACATAATAACAACAGAAGACCTCTAGAGCATTCTGGTGGCCCAGTGGTACGATGTTGTGTTGCAATCCCAAAGGCATATGATTGAAAGTCATCAGCTGCTCTGCTGGAGAAGGATGAACAATCTACTCCAATGTCAATTCCAATTGGACAGCACACATACAGGCCACCAGAGCCCCTTCATACAGACTGTTGTTCTTGATTGCTGTTGAATTGAGCATGACTCATACTGACTCTATGTACAAAAGACCTGAAGCATTTCTATAATTATTGTCTTTTCTCAAAGTTCATAGAGTTTCCAGAGGCATATTGTTTAGAAAATGAATGCCATTCCTGCTTCCAATCCTATGGACTACGCCACCCTGAAACAACCATTCAGTTCTTTGGTAGATAGACCTTCAGATCTAGTCCTCAAGTCATACTGGCTTCTCAGTCAAATGTCCTGCCATGTCCATAGGCACAGAAGTTTCCACTGCTTCTGAACACAAAAAGGGAAAAGAAATCTCTTCCGATTTCTTCCTGATACAAACATCTTTCACTTAG